CTCAAGACCTATCTAGAGAACAAGTTGAGGGACTCTGTGAGCTGGACAGAGAACATCTGAGCTGTGATCATCAATATTAGGAAAAGAGGTGAGGAATCTGATGAAGACTACTCACAGCGCTTCATGGAATTATGGTGTGAATTGAGGCCTGTGAAAACAGGGCTCTGGAACAAGACCTGAATGATGATGTTTGTGAAGAAGCTGAATAAAGGCATGCAGAACAAGCTCATTGAGCAAGGCTCTAAGTCCTTGATTCTGAAGAAACTGATGACTCTCATTCATTGCTTGCAGATCACTGTGAGAGTCACAGATCTGCAAAGAGTGAATCATCAACTGGCCCTGCAAGGGCCAGGACAACAGAGGACAGATTTGTCAGGAAAAGATGACAAGGCACAGAGAGGTTCACATCTGACTGCTGAGCAGAGAGAGAGAGCTTCACAAGCTCCTGTGAACAGAGTGTACAATAGAGAGGTCAAGGAAAAGAGACTCTGCTTCATCTGTTCTAAATCAGAACATCTTCACACAAACTGTCTGAACAAATCAAAATAGGAATTTGAGAGATCATGAACAGAGTCAGCAACAGCCTTCTTAAGGGCCTTGAAGCTGACACCTGAATCTGTTGCTCTCTCAATGAAAATGCTTGCTTGCAGGGAGAGATCACATCACAGTGCTGCTGCCCTGCAAGCATGGGAAGCATTGATGAACTCAGGATCTCAGGCTACTGTGATGTCTCTAAAGCTCATGGAGTGAATGGGCTGAAAGGTGAAGACTGAGAACCTGCTCTTGCAACAAGCAGGGTGTGAGAACTCAGACCTGAGAGCTGAGGAACTTGCAAGGGTCACCTTTGAATTGCAAGATCTCTCTGAAACCTGGAGAAGATTTGTGAAAACTGTGATTATTGTGAACATCACAGATGACATGTATTTGAGACTTGCATGACTTCAAAGACATAATTCACACATAGCTGTCCGCGAGTCAGGTTTATACTTCCAATCAGTGTTGACAGACTCACTTGCAGAGGTAGAAGCAGTTGATACTGCAGAGTTGATTAGAGAAGACAAGCTCATCTATGTGATGACTTTGTAAGTGTCTGAGAACCTTGTGATCATGGAAACTGAGCTTCAGATATCAGAGGAATACTGAGATCTCATAGAGATATTCAGCTCAGCTAAGACAGCTGAGCTTTCTTCTCATCATAAGAAGAATCTGGTAATAGATTTGATAGAAGGGCAGAAACCCTTCTGAGGATCAATCTATAAGCTCTTCCATCACAAGACAGAGGCCTTGCGGATCTATGTGAAGAAGAATCTGAAGAATGACTTTATTCAATCTTCACAGGCCTCTGTGGGAGCCCCTGTGATGTTCATAAAGAAGAAGAATAAAGGTCTCAGATTGTGTGTAGACTACTGCAATCTGAACTCCAAGACAACAAAGAGCTGCTACTCTCTGTCTCTGATTGAGGATGTGATCAATCATCTCACAGGAGCTGTCATATTCACACAACTGGATGTGATCAATGCATATGCACAGCTGTGAATACAGTCTGAAGATGAATGAAAGACTGCCTTTAGAACTGCACTGAAATTGTTTGAATACCTAGTAATGTCTTTTGATCTGACTAATGTCCCTGTGGCATTCCAGTCTTTCATCAATAAAACACTTCACATATATCTGAATGTCTTTGTGATAATATATCTGAATGATGTGGTGATGTACTTCATGAAGGAGGAAGAACATGCTGAGCATGTGTGAAGTGTGTTGAAGGCCTTAGATGAGGCAGAACTGTATATTAAGCTTGTGAAGTGCAACTTCAGTGCCTGCTGGATTAATTTCCTAGAATATGTAATCATCACAGATGATATTCAGATGGAATCTTTGCAGGTTGAGACTATTCTATCATGGCTGAAGTCAACTAGTATTCATGAGATTCAGATCTTTCTGAGCTTTGTGAATTTCTATAGATGATTTATCTTTGTGTTCACAAGAATCTTCTTGATTCTTACAGACATGCTGAAGAGTGAAAATAAGAAGAAGTCATTCTGTGAACAGAGGATGAAAAGGTTGTTGAGAAGAGAGAACTGTGAGGACTTTCTTACTTCAGAAGCTCATGAGGTCTTTGCAAGGTTGAAACAGGCATTCATGAACACAGTGATGCTGTTCCACTTTGATTTCTTGCTCTTAATCAGATTGAAGACAGATGTCTTCTTCTTTGTGATTTCAGGAATAGTCTTGCAACTACAGCCAAATGAGAACTGGGTTTCAGTGGTCTTTTTCTCACAGAAGATGTAACCTGTGGAGATCAACTATGACATTCATGATCAGAAGCTTCTCACAATAGTGAAATTCTTTCATCACTGATATCACTACTTCAAGAGCCTCACAACAGTGATTACTGTTAGAACTGATCATGACAGCTTGTGACAGTTTGCTTCAATCAAGGAACTCTCACAGTGATAGGTTCACTGGGCTCAGAGACTGAGTGGGTTCTGGTTCAAGATAGAGCATATCAAGGGAACTAAGAACTCAGTGGATGAATTCTCTCACAGGCCAGACTATGTTAAGAAGGCCAGGGTGACAGACACAGAGAGGCTAGAGAAGGCAGAAAAGCTTCACAGAATGCTCAGACTGAGTGTTGCAAAGAGATTGACTGAAGAGTCTTTCAATCCCCTGCAAGAGAAGGAAGGGGAGGGAGAGAAGAAGCCTGCACAACTACTCCCTGCAACACTGAGAGTCAACACTCTGAGAATCTCTGTGAGAATTCTTGAAGAGAGTATCTATAACCTGAAGGGTTTGCAGGCTTTGAGAAGCACTGTGGAAGACCTGGTGTAAGGGGAAACAGAGCACAAGTCTTTGCAAGGTCTTCTATTCAGATTGCCTGAACTACAACTGAAGAATGAATATGCTCAGCATATTCAGAAACTGCTCACAGCAGGGACTAACTCTGCAGAAACAAAGGATTGAAGAGACTTAAATGATCTCTTGTGAAGAGAGGGCTGGATTTATGTGCCTGCAAATGAGTTTCTATGTGTAGAACTCATCAAAAGACATCATGACTCTTCTCTAGCAGGTCATTTTACAGATACTAGAACTCATGAGTTGCTTGCAAGAAAATACTTCTGACTGAAGATGTGAGGACTTGTGAAGAAGATAGTGAATTCTTGTGCTGTTTATCAGGGTTCGCGGGTAGTGCGGTCCAGGTCATATAAAGAACTCACTTCTCTACCCATCCCGCGGGAACCTTGGAAACAGCTAGGAATGAATGTCCTTGTGAGCCTCTCTGAAAGCAAGGATATATATGATGCCTGCTTTGACAGTGTGCTGATGATAGTGAATTGCTTCATCAAGATGGCACACTTTATACTCACTCACAAGGACTTGAAGTCAAAGGATTTGACTCACATCTTCATCTGTGATGTGGTTCAGTTGCATGAGTTGCCTGCAAACATTGTCTCAGACAGAGAATCAATCTTCACAGAAGAGTTCTGGTCTGATCTGATGACTATACTGAAGATCTTATGAGATCTAAGCACAGCTTTTCATCAACAGACAGATGATCAGACAGAATGCCTGATGAGTATATTAAAACAGTATCTGCAGTGCTTTGTTAATTACAATCAGAATGACTGAGTGCATTGATTATCACTTACAGAGTTCATGTACAACAACTCAAAGCATGTCAGCACAGGCAAAACCTCTTTTGAGATGCTCACTGGGACTCATCCGCGGATGACCTTGATGAACTCATGAGAGTACACTATAGAGTGTGATGATGCCTGTGAACAGGCTGAGAGAATTCAGAAGATCCGGAAGGAAGCCCGCGAATTCTTGAGAAAGGCTCAAGAGTATCAGAAGAGATACTATGACTTCAAGCACATTACAAAGAGTTTCAAGAAAGATGATAGAGTCTAGCTGAGTCTAGAAAACATCATCATGCAGAGATCTAGCAAGAAGCTGAATCTCTTACAAACAGAGTCTTGTAAGATTATGAAGAAAGTTAGCTCACAGTTCTACAGATTGAAACTGTTATCTGAGTTACAGATGTATAATGTTTTTCATGTCTCTTTACTCTGTGAATATAAGGAATTCTCAGAAGAGAACCCTGTAACTCATCACCCTGTTTGCAAAGCACTAGAGAGTGAAAGAGAATACCAGGTCAAAGGAATTGTTGACTCAGAGAAGTGAGATCACAAGCTCTGATTCAAGGTTCAGTAGCAAGAGTATTCTGACAAGGTGAATGAGTTCACTTAAGAACTATTCAGGCAGATAAGATATCTGCAGAAGCTGAGACATGACTTTCATACTGTAAATTCTGACAAGTCAGAATGGTGCAGTCTTCACTAAGAACCTGGTTGTGACAAAGACATTAACACTGTCATTTGCAAATCCTAGTCTACAAGATAATGGGTTTCTACTGGGATGAACAGTCTGCAGTGTATGCAAGGAAAGAAGAAAACATGTTCTCATTAAAGCTAAAAAACAAGAAAACAAACAGGGCTGTGAATGCAATTTAGAGATCAACAAAGGAAAAATAAAGAAAACCCACACTCATATTATCAACATCTGTGACACCCAATCCCCTCACAACTACCAATTTCTCTCTTCAAAGAAGCAGGGAGTATCATGCCTGTGATACAGACAATTGTTACATTTGACACAAAGGCTGCCAGAAATGCACAGACTTCAGAGAAGCTGGACACCAGAACACACACAGTTGTGACAGAGCCTTGAAGACTGGCCACCTGTGCATGTGACCAGATATCCCTCATAAAGCTGTGTCCACTCTTTCAGTTGTGCTGGAGTATCCAGCCTGAAAACAATGAAGATGTGAAGAGAAGGCTCATCTGCTCAGGTCAACTCCTGTCATGAATTCATAGCATTTGCATTGCCTTGATTACCCGGATTTTGCGGGTACTCAGAGACTCATCTCTCATTGACAATGAGATTGCGGAAATGCACCGCAGCGCAAGAATCATTGGCAGGGAACCTAGGCATATTTGCATATGCCTGGTCAGAGATTGTGTGAGCAGAGGGGAGGTGGTCATAGGCCTGTGGAGCTGCAGGAGGCACTGGCAACACTAGAAGCTTTGCAAGAACTGTCAGCTAGAGTCTGTAAGAAATTACTTATGAGAAGACTTACAGCAAAGGGAAGGACTGCACTGCTTGAAGCCAGGGGCTGGCCTGAGAGAGGGATGAAATGGGCTGCTGGCTCAAAGATCAGGTGCAGTGGCAGGGCTGGGGAGAATGAAGGCATGATCATGAGTGACAGCACCCCTGCTTCATCAGCTGGTAAAAAGCAATCAGAGGAGTTGTGGGGACACTCACAAGAAGCTCAGTGACAGCCAGACATTGTTTACAAAGATGTTGAAATTGAAAAATTTTTATTCTTGGGAAGTTCTTGAACCAATATATGAACATTGTCAGAAACACTCTCTCTCTGTTATCTGAGTGAAAACACTTCACGGATGAATGAGAATACTCACAGTTTGTGAGAATGAAAGCTGTTACAGAAAAAGGGAAAAGAAGATGAGGTTTCATGAACAGATCTGGGATATTTATACTACTCTAGAGAGGTTTGCTTGCACTGTGAGTGATTCTGCAGAACAGTCAGATCACTCTAGTAAATAAGAGTGATTGTGAATTGCAGGTCTGAATCCTTCTATGTGACTATAAAGAGTGATTGCAGACTGCAGACATCTTGATTCTACAATTCTACAGAGTTGATGAAAGAATGAAAAATTCCTCACAATTCTACAGTGTCAAAGAGCAATGATTTGTGAGAATGAATGAAAGATCAACTCATGAATGTTTCTCTTTAATGAGGGTGATCTCACAGAGAGTGATTCACCTGTGAGATGAATCTGTGTGATGATCATACAAGAACCTTGTGAAAATGATTGAGAGTCAACTGGAACCCTCCTGTATGAAAGATGTGAGATGAATCTGTGTGGTAGTCAGAGAAGAATCTGTAGGTCACAAAGAACCTCATGAAACAAGGAACTGAGTGACAGACTCTTTTCTCTTTGTGATAACAAGGGATTTTTCCTCACTGAGGTTTTTTATAGATGTGAAGGGTTTTTAGTGAGTATCACTGCAGTGCTGAGCTGACTATGAAGTCACTCAGTGAAAGGCTTCGCGGATGAAGCCTTAGAGAGAGAGAAGTATGTAAGAAATCCCACTCCTTGCAGATTCTTTACCCCTATTCCTATCTCTCATGTAACCAATAGGGCTAGTGGCCCTTGGCTACACACAACTATATAGACTGGAGTTCGCGAATACTATTCACAACTCAGCTTGAATGCTATTATACATTTGATCTCTATATTTATCTTCCTACTGTGAACACTTCTAGTAGTTAACAGTACATATCACGCCAAGCTGCAAACACCCGAATAATCGCCTGTGAGCACTTATTCTTACAGAGATATAAGTCTCCTGATGAGTGCCTCTCTTTAACTAGTTATCACATATGATTCATCGAGATTTTCACAATATATCATTCTCATCAGTATTGAGATCATCAGAACAGTTCTTTTCAATGAATACTCAGTGACCAGATGCCACTGATTCATCATATAAGATGTCAGAACATGAAATAAGTGTTCAGGTCTTGCACCTCTCAAGGTCAGATATTTTGTGTTGTATTGATTTCTTTCAATAATCTCTCATCATCTCTGATCTATTCATAGCATTCTTGTGTGATTTCAAAAGAGAATCAGTAATGAGGGTGAGAGTGTAAGCTGCAAATATCTTCATCAGCTGCATTCAATCTGTACTCATCAATTCAGAAATGTCAGAATTCTTCATTAAATAGGTGATAGAAACAGTGTCAGTTGCTGCAGTTGTAGTTGTAGTAATCTTCAGCATTTCTTGTACTTTTGCAGGGAAAATCACATCACTTGTGTCAATAATTTTATCTGTTATAGAACTTCACAAGTGATAGATTGAACATTCACAGAATTCAATAAGTTTATATGAATCAGCCTATGCAGACAACTTATTCAACAGCTTCTGTGATTCATGAAGATGAGCAAAAACATCAGTTTCAAGCTCATGGAAATGTGTGATCTGCAGTAGAGCATTTGTCAATGCTGAAAAAGAAATTGTATGAGAGCTATGAACAGCTTCTTTGCTATCATCATCTACAACTGCAGGCCAATACTTTTCATTATATAGAATCATAGATGTAGGTGTATTATTTATGATTGAAACAACTGTTTTCAGAATGTCTGTTCAGAATTTCTTCAAGATCTTCTTGCTGATAAGAACTGCTCTGGCGCGGGTTATAATCATACATATTCCACGCTCAGACACGCCATCTTGATGTGATGATTGAGAAGTAGTTAGTTCTCATACTGTGTTATGATTGATGAACAATGCTGTAATCTTCATGAATCTGAATACATCATTAACATCAGTCCTGACATATACTGATGCAGTAAAACCTAGATTCTTCATAAATTGAACCCAGTGTGTATAGTAATTGTAAGCTTGATTCTTGATGTGTAAGAAATAGATTCATCTATATCTGATCACATCATCTGTGATTAACATATAATATTTATTACTCTGCCGCGATTCAACAGAGTGGTCTGTAGACTTGCTCAATGTCTGCCTGTCATCTGTAAGATTGATATAAATCTGCTCCATTGAGTGTACAGCCTGTGACATGAAGATGATTGAGTATTTATATGTCATACTCACTTTAACACAGATGTTGTAAAAGAAATTGATCTTGATGTCTTTAACATGAATATCAGATAGTGAATTCTTTGCTAATGCTATAATAGCTCCCGTGTGTATATGTCCCAGGTCAACATGCTACTCCGCAAGTGTTTTTGCAGTTGTAGATGATTCTTGATATTGAGGTTGATCAATGATGAAATCATTGTCATCAATAGTGATCATAGCTTTAGCATAGTCATTATTATATACATATGATTTCACTGTGAAGTAGACTGCTTTAGACTTATAATGTACATCAACTTCTGACATTCTTTCAACTATTTTATAAATTGAGTTTTAAGATGTACAGATTGCAGTGAAAATCACTTCACTTGATACTTTAATAATGAAATAGAACAGAGTGTTTAAGCTTGAAAGCTTATATTGAAAACTCTGATCCTTCAACCTGATGAATGACAATAGATTGACTGTGAGATTGAGAATATAATAAATATCACAGACAGTAATATTCTCTTCTTCAGATTCTAGAAGAAGATTGCTGATCTCTTTGATATGACTGTAACCTCTGTTCACTGTGTGAATTTTCATATTACTATTATACATCTTCTACTGAATGAGGGACTGCTTTTCACCTGTCATATGAAAACTCACACATGTGTCAAGAAATCAAGGTTTGTTTATTATATTAATAGTTGCTGAAAAAGCAATTGTCATGTTAACAGCTGCAGGTTATGAGGTCATAAGATTAGAGAATTTCTTCTTCTTATCATCTTTATTCTTCTTTTTACTCTTTCACTTGCCACATTCACTGATACTGACATTGTTGCTATTATTCTTCTCAGATGTAATGATATATTTCTTATTTAACTTGCATCACTGTTTAGTAGCAAGTTCTGAATACAGATATCAACAGATGTTTTTTCAGTATTATCTCAAACTGCATATCTCACATTTGAAACTGTGTGCAGATGATGTAGAGAGAGTTGTGATAGTTGTATTAACTCACTGAGACTTAGAATTTTCATTCTTGAACTTGTTTATACAGTTTATCAACTGTTTCATAAGATTATTAATATCAATATTATGTATAGAGTTCTGATCAGATGTGTAGAAATCATTTAAACATATCTTGATAAAAGACTTTTGATGCTTCTTCAGATTAATAAGAAAGAGATTATAATAAAAGTCTTCTAAGTTATTTATCAATTTCTTATAACATGTAACTAGATAACAGAATCTTCTCTGAAATACTAGATAATTATTATCTCTGACATGTAAGATGATGAATTCTTTCACAATATTTATACATTTCTCTGTAAGTGAGACAGTATATTCAACTTCAATTCTTTCTCATAGTGTAGCTGCATTATCTGGCTCAAGAGTTTCAATGATTGTATGTACAGATTCTAATAAGAACTGCAACATACATTGATACAGTGCTTTGATATGAATGCTTCATTTTTCAGCACTTAATGTGTCTTGACTGATGTCTTCTGAACAGACATGTTAGTTCTTCATAAGAATGTCAGATCTGCTGATGACTTCAGTGTCTGCAAGAATTTCTATACATCAGATCTCATAGTTATTGTCATCAAATGTGATTACAGCTTTGGTATTCATGGCTTTTTGAACATTCTTTTGATATTCACAGATCTCAGATTTGAAATCATCTGCTGCAGAGGTGGCTACTCAATGCACACTCATTCTGTCACAGAACATCATCAGGTCATTGAATGTCATTGATATCATATTATCTGAACTCATTCTAGACATGATACTTGTGTGTCATACTTCTGTACACATTGCTTATGAGCTTAGAATGTCATCATCTGATTCATGATCTGCTTCACTGTTTGCAGATGACTTCATGATCTCTTCTGTGGCTTTCATGTATTGTGTAGTATCTATTTCCTCTGATTCTTCATTGATAGGTGCCTGAGTGTGAGGATGTGAACATAAAGTTCTCCTTCTATCACTCTGTGGCGTAGGCATATCACTCATCAGTCAAAGGAGGGTTGAATGGAGGAATTGAAAAGAAAAAACATGTTATATTATACTGTAGAGTTCTGCTATTCCAATCGCCGGCCAAGCAGATACACTTGAAACATGCAATGTAAATGTGGTAAAAGGATTCTCCTATCCAGGGTGAACACATTCAATGCTTACGCAGGTGTTTTTAAACAAAAGTAAAAACGTGCTATCCGGGCTATAACCTGTGGGATGGTTAATCTGTTGTATTCGTGTAGGAAGAGCTAGCTATATATATTACATATGAGATCACGTGTAGGCGGAGCGGTCGCTACGGCAACGCCACTAGGGCGGATGCTACAACAACCACTGAGACGTCCAACAATTTGATGGGGTGCATGTGATATCACGTGAGGTCACGTTACAGCGCATTTTCCCACAGAAAAGTTGGTTTTTCTATACTAAGTAGAGAGAAGAGAGATAAGTTATAAAATCAATCTTGCAGAGCCTTTCATTTTGAGCTTTGTACCTAGAGGCTTGTGTAAGATATTTTATAGTGTTGGTGGGGTAGGCGAGGCCGCGATCGGCCAGTTCTTGGCAACCATCATCATCCGCGAAATTTATGACTTTTGAGCGTTGAAGTTTTTCTATGTTTTAACCTTTCCTTCATCTTGCATGCAGCATAGATCTGTCCACCATGTCAAGTGCCAGAACTGTTTCGCTCGCCATCCGACGCGTGCGACTCTCAAGAATAAAGACGGACAATTTTCGTCCCAACTTTCACAATGTCTCGTCATTGCGCTTTAGCACCTCCACATTCATCAGAGCTCAAGAGATATCAGTCACCGCAGCGGGCCCCAAGAAACATTCCAAATACACTACAGACGCATATCCAAACTTAAAACGAAATCCCAATTTCTCCCACCTCACCAACGCTCACGTTCAGCACTTTAAAACCCTCCTCAAATCCCCATCCGCGGTTATCGATGGCTTCACGGCAGAGGCGACGGACGATATCGAACCGTTCAATTGCGATTGGATGCGTAAATATCGGGGACATGCGAAGCTGGTGCTGAAACCGCAGAATACCAAGGAGATGAGCGAGGTGCTGAAGTACTGCAATGATAATACATTAGCTGTCGTGCCTCAGGGCGGTAATACAGGGCTGGTCGGAGGAGGTGTGCCTGTGTTTGATGAGGTTATCATCAGCACGGCGCGGATGAATAATATCCGGTCCTTCGATGAAAACTCGGGCGTTCTGGTGGTTGATGCTGGTGTGATTCTCGAAGTGGCTGATAAATATCTTGCGGAGCGGAATCATCTTTTCCCCCTTGACTTGGGGGCGAAGGGGTCTTGTCATATCGGGGGAAATGTTGCGACTAATGCTGGAGGTCTACGACTGCTACGTTATGGCAGTTTGCATGGCAATGTGCTGGGTATAGAGGCTGTTCTTCCAGATGGGACAATTATCGATGACCTGTCGACGTTGCGGAAGAATAATACAGGTTATGATCTGAAGCACCTTTTCATTGGTGCGGAGGGGACCATCGGTATGATCACTGGTATTTCTATTATCTGTCCACAACGCCCCAAGGCCATTAATGTAGCTTTCTTTGGCATTGAGAGCTATGAACAAGCCTTAAAAGCTTTTTTGGAAGCCAAGGGCCATTTGTCGGAAATCCTGTCTGCCTTCGAATTGATGGATGGGCGCAGCCAGGACATGGTACACAAGGTGACCGGATTGAAGAAGCCGCTGGACAGGTCATATCCGTTCTACTGCCTTATAGAAACGAGCGGTTCTAATGGAGAGCACGACAACGAGAAACTTGAGGGCTTTTTGGAACATGTCATGAGCGAATCTATCGTGGCAGATGGCGTGTTGGCTCAGGACGAAACACAAGCGCAGACGTTATGGCGATGGCGGGAAGGTATCACAGAAGCGTTGAGCCACCTGGGTGGAACATATAAGTATGATGTCTCCATACCGTTAGCGGAGCTCTATCAACTAGTTGATGACACACGAGACCGATTGACGGAGGCTGGACTCGTCGGAGATGACGAGAGCTACCCGGTCCGTGAAGTACTGGGATACGGACATATGGGTGATTCAAACCTGCATCTCAACGTCGCGGTCCGGGAGTATAACAAGGATGTCGAGAAGATGATTGAGCCGTGGGTATACGAGTGGATTGCCAAACAGAATGGGAGTATCAGTGCAGAACATGGTCTGGGCATTGCAAAGAAGGAATTCATCGGTTACAGCAAAAGTGAGACGATGATGAGGCTGATGGCTCAGCTAAAGAAACTTTACGACCCTGTAAGTGTTATGTTTCAATTTCCATTTTCCTCATCGCTTAAAGCTTTACTCCCTTTCTAATAACAATCTGTCCATTGTTCAGAACGGCATCATGAATCCATACAAGTACATATAACCCGTTGATTGAATTCCACTACCGATTTCCGAATTCATTTCGTCTCCTTAACGGCTAGATATCCTTGAGATGCCGGATTGTTACATCTTTGTACCAGCCGCATCACAAATGGCATCTTGGGTAGTTGGTGTGTAAGGCGACAGAAGGCAGATGGAGATGTCAAAGTCTGTCTGGAATTATTATTAGTTTTGAATAGATTTTGGTTTTGATGTGCTGGATATCTGGATGTTGATATTTTGCTTCTATACATTTACTCAATTTATAATCCGTGCTCCGATCGATGCCTGGCGAGAAATGTTTGAATCCACGTAATCAGCGCGGTACAGTAATGTAATCAACCACTTAACGCTCATTTCCACCTAACGCTCACCTTTGTAATCAATTACAATCAACTTCAAATGGTAATATCTCAATGAATATTCATTATTTTAACTTTTTAATTTGTAATTTATAAATATAAAGACTTATAGTATAATATAATTGAAAATTATTATAATGTAGTTAAAATTGATTAAGATATAAATTCAATTATAAAATAAAATACAGTATAATTGTAGCTAGTAGACTGGCCGCCGGGACCATGAATTTCACATTTGGTCTCATTTGGTCTGGTCTCATACATTTCTTGATGTGAATCCTGCTGGGACTGACTATTAAAAAAACATGTAAAGTGACTATATATCAGATCTTAAAATGAAATCATAACTTGAAAAAAATAAGAAAGTAATCTCATTTAATCTCATTTAGTTTCACTCTTAATATAAAGTTACTATTTTTAGACATTTTAAGATTTTTTTCAGACTATGTTTAATTTTTTAAAAAGTAATACTTTTTAATAACACTTAAATAAGATTTAAAGTTATTTAAAGTAATAAAAATAATTTAAATTAAGAAGTGAAAATTATAATTTCATTTGAAAAATGTGATAAGAGTAGATAGTAAGTTTCACTGAGATAGTATAAAACTACTATCTAATGTTAAAATCATGTAATGAAATCAGTTAAATTAATAATAAGACTATTAAAAAATCTGATTCTAATCTCAGACACAGTTATATAATTAGTCTAGTAGCTAGACTGACTATGTAACTGTATCTGAGATCAGAATCAAACTTTACAGTTATTATATTATTTAAAAGTATTACTTCTGATTATGATTTATGTTTATTACATTAATCTCAAATCATGTTATTTTAAATATTAAAGATTTCAGATTCACTTTTCAAATAAAAATCTAGTCTTAGATAAAGAATATTGTAAGAGATCTATACTGAATAGATTAGTATAATATTAATAGATCTTATATAACAAAGATAAAAACATTAGAGAAGAAAAGAAAGAGAAAGTGTGAGAATCAGTGATTGAGATGAATATTTATACATATATATGATAATGTACATGATGAAGCTTGTAAGAATAAGTACTCACAGATAATTATTCAGATGTTTGCAGCTTGATATGATATATACTGTTAACTACTAGAAGTATTTACAGTAGAAAGATAAAATATAGAGATTAAATATATAATAGTATTCAAGCTAAGTTATAAATAGTATTCATGAACTTCAGTCTATATAGTTGTATATAGTCAAGAGTCACTAGCTCTATTAATTATGTAAGAGATAGAAATAGAGATAAAGAATCTGTAAGAAGTAGAATTTCTTACATATCTTCTTCTCTCTAAGACTTTATTCATGAAGTCTTTTACTGAGTAACTTTATAAAATCAGCTCAGTACTGTAGTAATACTTACTAAAAACTCTTCATATCTATAAAAAATCTCAGTGAGGAAAAATTCCTTATTATTATAAAGAAAAAAGAGTCTGTTACTCAGTTTTTTATTTTATAAGATTCTTTATAGTCTACAGATTCTTTTTCAACTATTATACAGATTCATCTTGTATCTTTTACATAGAAGAGTTTCAGTTAACTCTCAATTATTTTCATAAGATTCTTATATAATTATTACACAGATTAATCTTATAGATGAATTACTCTCTATAAGATTATTCTTATTAAAGAGAAGTATTTATAAGTTAATCTTTTACTTATTCTTATAAATTATTGTTCTTTAACACTGTAGAATTGTGAGAAATTTTTCATTCTTTTACTAACTCTATAGAATTATAGAATTAAGATATCTGCAGTCTGCAATCATTCTTTATAGTTATATAGAAAGATTCAGATATGTGATTCATAATCACTTTTATTTACTAGAGTGATTTGACTATTTTACAGAATTACTCACAGTGTAAGTAAATCTCTCTAAAGTAGTATAAATATTTCAGATCTATCTGTGAAATCTTATCTTTTTTTTTCTTTTTCTGTAACAGTTTTCATTCTTATAAACTGTAAGTATTCTCATTCATCTGTAAAGTATTTTTACTTAGATAATAGAAAGAGAGTGTTTCTGATAATATCTGTATATTAATTCAAGAACTTCTCAAATTTTTTTCAATTTTAATATCTTTATAAATAATATCTAACTACTGCTGAGCTTCTTATGAGTGTCTCTATAACTTCTCTGATTACTTTTTATCAGCTGATAAAGCAGAGATACTATTACTTATAACTGTATCTTTATCTCTCTCAGTCTTATTACTATACCTGATCTTCAGATCAGCAGTCAATCTCATATCTTCTTCAGATCAGCTTCTGACTTTAAGCAGTGCAGTCTCTCTCTTTACTGTAAGTCTTCTTCTAAGTAATTTCTTACAGATTCTAGCTGACAGTTCTTGTAAAGCTCTCAGTGTTATCAGTGTCTTCTGCAGTCTTATAAGTTTATGATCATTCTTTCTCTGTCTGCACAATCTCTGACTAGACATATACAAATATGTCTAGATTTCTCATTAATGATTCTCATGCCGCGGCACATTTCTGTAATTTCATTGTCAATGAGAGATGAGTTTTCAGAGACTCATAAAATTCAGATAATCAAGATAATATGAATGCTATAAATTTGTGATAGAAGTTAATCTGAACAGATAAGCTCTTTCTTCATATCTTAATTATTTCTGAGCTGAATACTTCAGTATAACTGAGAAAGTAGATACAGCTTTATAAGAAGTATCTAATCACACATATAGATAGTCAGTCTTCAAGACTCTGTCATAACTATATATACTCTGATATCTGACTTCTCTGAAGTCTGTGTATTTCTGATAATCTTTATATTAACTACAATAATTATCTGTATTATAAGTATGATTAGACTGGCTGCCGGGACTATGAATTTCATGTTTGATTTCATTTGATCTAGTCTCATACATTTCTTGGCGTGAATCCCGCTGAGACTGGCTATCAAAAAAACATGTAAAGTGACTATATATCAGATCTTAAAATGAAATCATGACTTGAAAAAAATAAGAAAGTGATTTCATTTGATCTCATTTAGTCTCATTCTTGACATAAAGTTACTATTTTTAGACATTTTAAGGTTTTTTTAGACTATTTTTAATTTTATAAAAAGTAACACTTTTTGATAACACTCAAATGAGATTTAAAGTTATTTAAAGCAATAAAAATAATTTAAATTGAGAAGTGGAAATTATGATCTTATTTGAAAAATGTGATAAGAGTAGACAGTAAGTCTCACTGAAACAGTATGAGACTACTATCTAATGTTAAAACTGTGTAATGAGATCAGTTGAATTGGCAATGAGACTATCAAAAAATCTGGTCCTGGTCTCAGACACGGTCACACGGTCAGTCTAAGTATGATACTCTCTACTTCTTTGAAGAGAAAAATTAATAGTTATGAGAGAATTGAGTGTTATGAATATTAAGAATATGAGTGTGAGTTTTCTTTATTTTTTCTTTATTAGTCTCTAAATTGTGTTCACAGCTCTGTTTATTTTCTTATTTTTTTTTTTAGCTTTAATAAGAGCATGATTTCTTCTTCTCTTATATATATCACAGACAGTTTATCTCAGTAGAAACTCATTATCTTATAGATTAGAACTTATAAATGACAGTATTAATATCTTTATCATAATCAGATTCTTAGTGAAGATTATATCATTCTGACTTATCAGAATTCACAGTATGAAAGTCATGTCTCAGCTTCTATAGATATCTTATCTACTTGAATAATTCTTAAGTGAACTCATTTATCTTATCAGAATACTCTTATCACTGAATCTTGAATTAGAGCTCACAATCTCACTTCTCTGAGTTAATAATTTCTTTGATCTGATATTCTCTTTCATTCTCTAGTACTTCATAGATAGAATAATAAGTCACAGAGTTCTCTTCTAAGAATTTCTTATATTTATGAAGTAAAGAGATATAAAAAACATTATACATTTATAACTCAGATAACAGTTTCAATCTATAGAACTGTAAACTAACTTTCTTCATAATCTTATAAGACTCTGTCTATAAGAGATTCAGCTTCTTACTAGATCTCTATATAATGATATTTTCTAGACTTAGTCAGACTCTATCATCTTTCTTAAAACTCTTTATAATATACTTAAAGTTATAGTATCTCTTCTGATACTCTTGAGTCTTTCTCAAGAATTCACAGACTTTCTTCTGAATCTTCTGAATTCTCTCAGCTCATTCATAAGCATTACTACACTCTATAGTGTACTCTCACAGATTCTGTAAGAAATCCCGCTTCTCGCGGATTCTTTACCTCTATTTCTATTTCTTGCATAATCAATAGAGCTAGCGGCCCTTGACTACACACAAATATATAGACTGGAGTTCACGAATACTATTCATAACTCAGCTTGAATGCTATTATATATTTAATCTCTATATTTTATCTTTCTACTGTAAATACTTCTAGTAGTTAATAGTATATATTATATCAAGCTGCAAACATCTGAATAATCATCTGTAAGCACTTATTCTTACATTTCAAGCTCAGTCAGTCAGCAACTGTCTGTTATAACTGAAAGAACTAGAAACTTATATACTTCAATCTCTGTGAACTCTACTGCAGACACTTAGAAGCAGTCATCTGAATTATGAATAATCTTTATAAAAGAAGTTTCAGAGAACTTATTAATTACTTATAAGATATTATTCTCTATATCTGTGACAGAGCAACTCTCTGAACTCATGAATAAATCAATCTCAGTGAAGAATATTCTTGAGCATCTCTCATGAGATTAAGCTATTTTTCTACAAGAAATGCTTACTATCTGTAAACACTTTTGAACTGAGTCTCTAGACATGATCTTCAGAGACATCTATGAACTGAAAAGAAACTTTCTTAAGCTATAATTACTTAAGATCACTTATCAAATCACAATCTATAAAAGCTTTTAAAGATTTATATTTGAAATTAACTCATAAGCTTAGCTGTGTGATATAAAAGATGAAGAAGCTATCATTTATACAATGACAGATCTCTATTACACTGAAGTCAAGAACTGACTGAATTATTTAGAGAATAATTATAAGAGATCTCACTGAT